ATATGCTTTAAGGTGACAGCGCGATGCTGTTAGTGAGTTCTTCACTTCTTGTGTGCCTATCATTACTTGGCTGTGTAGCCGCGTGATGCGGTTCCAGTCGAGACCCACAAATTGGCCCTTGCTCACCATAGAGTCTCCAGTAGCTCAAGTGGTTAGAGCATCCGACTAGATCACGGAGGGTCGTGGGTTCAAATCCCATCTGGGACTCGGATTTTTTTTTCCGAGTCCTCCTCAAATTAATATCATGTTGTTGTTGTTTCATCTTTAATATACTTAAGTTGTTTTTGTAAAAATATTTTGTAAGTCCATCAAGTTTAAAATATGACTTTATTTACAAGAATATCTAAATCGAATCTATCTTAAGACAACTTTTGTACAAGCTGTTTCTGCTCAATATAATTGTAAACATGCAAAAACCACTTAACTGCTGCTAAATTTATGTTTTTCACGTTTTATCTTTATAATTTCGTAATTTTTATGTTTCCAGCTATTTGTATCTTTTCACTATTTTAGCTCACGAGAGAGATTTAAACTTCTGAGAGCTCTTCGTGGGTAAAAAAATTATGTCGAACAACGTCTCAAAACCAAAATCTGGAAGGTACCTAATTAAAGTACTGTAAAACCTACCTCTGCTAGTCGTCTCCTGCCAGCTCCATTCTGTATTTGGTTCAAGTGAGGCCGTCCAGTAACCTAAAAAAGTAAAACTTGGTTAAGTTGGTAACAATACTCGACTAGAGAGCCGAACGTTCATTCAAAATACAGAGAAACAGAGAGCACTTACCTGTGGTAATTTTTCAAACTCATTTTCCCAATCATCCCATCATCCTTAAATTTTCGAAAAGTTAAGTTTTGATCCCTATAATTTTCGGAACACTAGACTTTCAGCTAGGAAATCCGAACAGATGAAAAATTTTTAGCGGATAAAAATATGCCTATATCTACCGTTTAACCACAAAAATACGTTTAACAACGCTAAGTTTAAGTGGTTTTGAGCTACATTCTCGCTGGGTGCCCCTGGTTTGATCAATTCACGCTCGCGCATTCAAGTCTTATTTTAACAAGGACATTTGTGAGCAGGGAATAAGTCAGCACAGAATTTGATTGTCGGCGAATTTCTGTAATCATCCATCGTTCTACTAGTGATAAGCTAGCCGTTGTTCACTCGTCTTGCTTGTTTCGGGCTGAGTCTTATTCCGGTCAAAGAGAGAGAAAGAGTGTCTGGCAAGGTTTCCAATCTAAGATTTGTGAAGTCGTGTCTGGCAAACTCTCCAAGCGTTTAACGCACCTTATAACTTCATCTGCGCTTAACGAGTGACTTTCAAAACAACTGCTCCACAGAATGTCACTGATAACACGTAACGCAAAAGAATATCGAAATATATGACAGCACAATAAATGTCACAAAATCTACCCAAGCGGTCCCTTCGGGATTTTCTGTCTTTACGTCATCCTAACCATTTCGCACTTGCGGGCGCAAACAATAGAAACGTCATCATTACCTACCTCTCGCCGCCCCTGTTCCAGCAAATCGACATACTGACTGTATATTTCAACTGTAAATACTTTCCTTAATATACGCGCGAGTTACTAGGGTGCCTCCTCGGGATTTCGCCTTCTGGGCAATAACTTTTCGAGGGAGCAAATATTGCCTAGAAACGTCTGTTAAAAAGGTCGAGAAAAAAAGTTTCTGGATAATTGTTCCTTTTCTGGGCACGTCACTTAAAAAAATGAATTTGTACTGCTTCAAACTAGCCCGTGTAAAGACCCTAGCCTGAATTTCAGACGATTACTTCGAGTCGTTTACTCTTCTCAGCAAGTAATCGTCTGAAATTCAGGTTAAAAAAATCGGGAACGGAGAGTTTGCTTGAGGGGAGGGGGCGTCTGTAAACAGGCTTGTGTGAACGCAAAAATGGGAAAACCTTGTGTGACCAGCGTGACAATAATTATGTTTGAGAAACCGTTTCCACCAAACTTTACTTCCTTTAACCAGAGACCTCTGTTTAAAAGACCAGGGACCCAGTGATGTTGAATAAAGATCGCGAGAAAACACGCAAGCCCTAGCCTTGTCACGTTTATCTTTGTCACTAGACTGCGACTGCGAGCAGTCTCTTATTTCTCTTTGCAAAGTCACTGCACGCGAAACCCAAGCACGCGAGCGAAGAAACCGCTAGTCCCCGGGGGCCGGGGGTGGGGGTACTCCCTTATATGGCCTAAACGGGGATGTGCCCCTGTACAGGGTATGGTTTAATTTCGTCCTGTCTGTCCTATATAGGATACATAATTTCGCACGAGTCTGTCCTAAACAGGGTATACAATTTAGCGGGAGTCTGTCCTAAACAGTGTGCATGATTTGTACGAGTCTGTACTAATTATAAACAGGGCGTTGAGCCAGAAAAAGGGTACTAAAATTAAGGGTGTTGCCCTAAACAGGGTCAGGGTTTCAAACCCTCAGCTGGTTACCTATACCCAACTATTGGTCGAGTACACCCCCGGGCGCGAGCCGCGATAACCGAGGCAACATAACGTCGTGGTTTGCAATCGCGCTGGTAAGAAGATAAGAACTAGACGGATTTTAAGGGAAAGGTGGACTGCAAGCAGTCTAGTTTATCACAAACGTTTTGCCGTCCTTTCTGGGCTCATCATGTCTTCTTTCTGCCCGTCCCGTTGCGTAAGCCAGGGAAATATTAAAAAAAACGTCACAGGAACGTCAGGCCCAAAGTTCGAGGTGTTTATAACAGCACTGCTGCCGAAACCATATTACATGATAATCCATATAATAACGTGACCTTAGAAACTTATAAATACAGGACATATTTTCCAAACACGTTCAGCAAATTAGTTCAAGAGCTGTAATTATTTCATTGACCTCTGCTGTCACTTGATTCTGTCGTACTGCTTCCTCCTGCGCTTTTGTGAATCCCCAACCCAGCACTTCATTAAAATTGTCTTAAACGCTCTTCGATATTCCCTGTTGTTAAAGCAGTATAGGAGTGGATTGATAGCTGAAGCAGATAACGCCACTGTTCTTGCAGTGTTGTACAAGATACCATAATCCACCTCCGGTTGAGTTAATCGAAGGTAGAAAAGAAAAGACCATCCAGCTGTGAAAACAACAAGAACCATTACTATGGTGCGAGCAAACCGTCTCTCTGTTGAATTGCTCTCTGTCTGGTCTTGTAAATTCTCTGTAGTATTGTTCCGTGTGTTTCGGTGTCGCGACTCAGCAAGTATTTTACGCTGTTTAAAAACTTGATAGTAAACCACGACGTAACATACAATCATTTCAACGTAACAAAACCCAAATACCGCTGTGGTGAGATAAGATGTGATTTTCTTGTCGACAGTAAGTCGCGATACTGAATACACACAAGCCAAGACCCACACAATGACCAAAACGATTTTCTTTCTACACGTCATAGTATTCTTGTAGTTGAATTTCTTTGCAACGAACAAGCATCGATCCATTGCAATTAACGCCAATGTCAACAAGGCGACTGCGCACGCGAAGTTGCCAACTAAACGGAAAGCGAAATCAACTCTGGGAAGACATTTTGACTCAATGCGACGGATTAACAGAGCGACGAAAAGAGGCTGATCCACAAGCGCAATGGCTAGGTCGGCTAAGGCGAGACTTAAGATGAAATAGTGGAAGCTTGATGTCAAGCCTTGGGTTGTGAACACTGCTAAACAAACCAGCAAATTACCAAGTATTCCTAGAAGACTGGTGCTGATGCTGACTCCTACAAGGACCAAGGCCTCGGTTTTAAAGTCTGCTAAGGAATATTTGGTTGAACAGTTAAACGGCGATGAATCGCTCTCCATGATCGTCAAAGGCAGAGAATTTTGGTTACTTCCGGCCGTCTTCTTGAAATTGACAACTACCGGTAGTTCCCAGTACCTTGTTTATTTTGGTGGACCCCAAAATGGTATCCAAATAATTTCTGCCCGGTTCACACGAGTAAGTTTTCCTAAACAAGTTATTCCTTGTCTATGAAAACTTGCTCGTATTTTACGTGACCTTTATGTAACAGGATCAGGGAATCCAGAGTCTACAAAATCTGGAGTCCCGTGAAAAGGAGTCCACGTTTGAACTAGAAAACCCGTCTTCTATAGCCATTCAACAAAAAAAAAGATTCAAAGAAAGCAATCATTTCGCGTCAGCTTTTTCTCCGTGTGACCCTGCTTTTGATGCAGAGCAATTTTCGATATTTTAGAAGTGATCTTGAGAGAAAAAACTTTCCAAAAAACAACAAAAAAAATTTAAAGAACAACAAAAGTTCATAACGAGTTGAAAAAATGCTCCTTTGACGTGGGAGGGAGAAAAAGATGACAACAGAACCACAGGCAGCCCAAACTCACGTTACTAGGGAAGGATGTAGTAATTAACATACCATAGGTGACGCGCCGGTGTCGCGTTACAGGCGACCGTTGAAAATATAAGAGACTTTGTATGAGAAATATATTACTGAGACCTGCGAACGCAAAATAACGCTAAACCCTACTTTTTCTTAAATGAAATGAATAAAAAAGACTTACCTGCAATGTATTCCACTGCGTTTTGCTGTCTGTTTGTCGTTTTACTGGTTTTTTTTGGCTTCGTTGCGTAACCACTGTTACTCTTTTCATAGAACGAATAGCCTGAGTATCAGGCCTTCCTAAGGGGCTACGGGAGAGGAGAGTTTAGACGGGGGAGTGGGGAGGGGGAGAAGAGAAAGGAAGGCCTGACACAAAACCATTCAGCAAATCGTGTGACACATCCAAAATCTGGATGTGGAACAACCTCGTTCCCAGGGTTCTCTCCCGCCCTACGGAGGAGCGAGAGAGAGAGAGACCCTGGAAAACGCTGGTCACGTGGCTCCAGAACAAAATTATTTCTGAGGGAGGAGTCCTTTGTCTCACATTTTTTTGTCTGGTTTATTCGCGACGTTCAAGCAGTGATCGCAACAGCCTGCAGCGCAGCGCCATGTTGAAACTTCCCGAAGAGAGGACGAAATGGGGCG